CGTGAAGCTACATAACGCGCAGTTACAAGGATGAATTCGTATCCATCATGCTCTCAAGAGCTTACAGCCTAGGAATTGAAATGGAGTCCAGAACCTGAAATCCAATTGCAAGTTAGAAGTGAGAAGCGTGTCTGACCCCTTTTTAGTGGGGTACTGACAGGTAAGTAGGAGACAAGGCAGAAGACATAATATTGCCCCTCATTCAGAAACAGAAAAGCGTGATGGCAGTCACACATCCCTTATCTCAAGGTTAGCTCCACCCACACACTGTGCAGTGAAACAAAATGCCAGCCCTGGAACTGAAAGAGAGGAGATAGTCAGAAGCTGGTTAGGCAGACAGAGAGGGAAGGTCTTGAAGAGACTTAACACCAGAAGGAACGCCCTCTGCACCGCTCCGTTATATAACTGTTGGCTGAAAATGTGGTTAATGTGGTTGAGAATATCCTCTCACCACGCTCGGTGGCTCAGCCTGTAATCCCAGCACTTTGGGAGGACGAGGTAAATTGATTACCTGAGCCTGTGGGTTCAAGACTAGCCCCGGCAACTTGACAAGACCGTATCTCTACAATAATTCAAAAAAAAATAGCTTGGCATGGTAGTGTGCGCCTGTAGTTCTGGCTACTTGGAAGGCTAAAATGAAAGGATCTCCAGAGCCCAGTAGGTCGATGTAAATGAGAGAAACGCCCTCAGAAAAGATGAGATAAAAACCACAAACAGGCCCAGCACCGGTGGCTCATACCTATAATCCCAGTACTTTGGGAGGGCAAGGTAAGAGGATTGTCTGAGCCCACAGGTTTGAGACCAACCAAGGCAACATGGCAATACCTCGTCTCTACAATAAATTTTTTTTTTTAGTTGGAGTCTCACTCTGTCTCCCAGACTGGAGGGCAGTGGCACGCTCCCAGCCACTGCAACCTCGACCTGCTGGACTCCAGAAATCATTCCTTCTCAGCCTTCCAAATAGTTGCAACTGCAGGTGCATGTTACCATGCCCGGCTAATTTTTGATTTATTATAGAGACGAGGTCCCACCAAGTTGCCCAGGTGGGTCTCGAACCCGCGGGCTCAGGCAATCCACTTGCCTCAGCCTCCCAAAGTGCTGGGACTACAGGCTGAGCCACCGAGCCCGGCCAATAAATTTTTGTTTTAAAAGTTAGCTGAGCGTGGTGGCACGTGCCTGTAGTTGGAAGGCTGAGGCAGAAGGATCGCCAGAGCCCAGCAGGTCAAAGCTGGCGTGTCTGTGAGCGTGCCACTGCACTCCAGCCTGGGTGACAGAGTGAGACTCCAATTCAAAAAAAAAAACACAAGCAAACTCCTAGCATGGGTTACCCATTTCAGGCCCCTTCTCTTTTTCTGGAGCGCTTTGTTGCTTAATAAACTCCTTCTTTCACTCATCCTTTTGGTGTATGATCCTTAATCTTCTTGGTCGTGGAACAAGAACCCGAAGTTGCTGGTTTAAGCTGACAGTGGAGTTCAAAACTCCTGCAACAGAACCCCACAAGCTCCTTTAGAAAATGAGAGGAAGCCGGGCTCGGTGGCTCAGCCTGTAATCCCGCGCCTTTGGGAGGCTGAGGTGAGTGAATTGCCTGAGCCCGCGGGTTCAAGACCCGCCTGGGCAGCGAGACCTCATTTCTACAATAAATCAAAAAATCAGCCAGGCGTGGTAGCGCATGCCTGTAATTCCGGCTACTTGGAAGGCTGAGGCGGAAGGATCGCCGGAGCCCAGCAGGTCGAGACTGCGGTGGCCGGGAGCGGCCACTGCACTCCAGTCTGGGCGACAGAGTGAGACTCCGACTCAAAAAAAAAAAAAAAAGAGAAAATGAGAGGAATAAGAGAATCTACCTGTATTCATTTCCTGGAGCTGCTGAAACAAAGCACCACAAACTTGGTGGCTTAAAACAACAGAATTGTATTCTCCAACAGTTCTGGAGGCCAGAAGTTTGAAACCAAAGCATCAACAGGGGCCTGCTCCCTCCAAAGGCTCTAGAGGAGAATCCTTCCTGGTGGCTTCTGGTGCCGTCTTGTGACAGTAGAGCTTGAATCTCTGCCTCTATGTCCATGTGGCTTTCTCTGTGTCCCTGCCTGTCCTTACAAGAAAGGCCACCCTAACCCGGTACAATCTTATCTTGACCCCCACCTTAATTACATCTACAAGGACCCTATTTCCAAAGAAGGTCCCATGCTGAGGTTCCAGAAGGACATGAATTTTGGGAGGACACTATTCAAGCCGCTATACTACCTCATAGGATTTCTGTGAGGAGTCCATAGCATGACATATCACAGCATTCAGTACAGTGCCTAATACGCAGCAAACACTCGATGAATATTGGCTACAAAAGTGTGTGTACAAGGTCTGACAAGTTCACAAACTGGTCACCGTATGCTTACATTAGCATCACTGTACAAGTGGCTTTGTAAGGTTTCATATCCTCAGTACCTCAGTGCCTCACAGCTATGTTTGGTGTCAACATGTGTCAGTGTCTTGCTGAGTGGTGTTCATTATTGTTGTTACATGTTTTTGTGTGCTGCCATGAATATGTCAGAGCTGGAATTAGAGCAATGAACAAACATTAAATTTCTTGTTAAATTTGGCAAGGGTGGAAGTGCAATCAGGGACATGTTAGTCCATGTTTATGAGGATAATGTCATGAAGAAAACAGCAATGTTCAAATGGATTAAATGTTTTTCTGAGGGGAGAGAAAGCTTCACTGATGAAGAGAGGTCAGGACAGCCAGTAATGAGCAGAACCCGACAAAAACATTACAAATATTTGCTGAATTTTTCATCAAAATCATCAGCTGGCTATGAAAATAAACATTAATAGAGAAACAGTTAGGGAAATCTTAATTGAAAATCTTGGCAATCCAGGAAAGGTGTGTGCAAAAATGATCCCAAAGGAGCTCTTGCATCATGGCAATGCACCAACTCATACAGCACTGTGAGGGAATTTTTAGCCAGTAAACAAATAACTGTATTGGAACACCCTCTCTACTCACCTGATCTGGCCCCCAATGACTTTTTTCATTATCCGAAGATAAAGGAAATATCGAAAGGAAGACATTTTGATGACACTCAGGACATCAAGAGTAATATGAAAGGAAATATCGAAAGGAAGACATTTTGATGACACTCAGGACATCAAGAGTAATATGACGAGCTCTGATGGCCATTCCAGAAAAAAGTCCCAAAATTGCCTTTGATGGGTGGACTAGGCACTGGTGTCAGCACATAGCTTCCCAAGGGGAGTACTTCAAAAGTGACTGTAGTGATATTCGGCAATGAGGTATACACACTTTTTCTAGGATGAGTTCACAAACTTAATTGTGAGACCCCATATATGTATGTTCATATATCATATATGTGCATATGTAACTGTTTGTCTATTAACTAGAGTTGTCAAAGGCTTATCTCATTATTTCACCAAATGAAACAGTAACTCAGCATTTTTTGCCCTTTGTGAGTTTTGTAATTTGCTTGTTTCTGATTCCATACCATTTCTCCCCCTTTTCTGTTATTTGGGGTAGTGGTTGTTTCGTGTTTGTTATTCTTTTTCTCTGAAAATGTCCTGGGTGTTTTGATGTTTGATGTATCCATTTTCTCAATGGGCAGTCTCCTATTATATAGGCAATTTTCCCCGGTGAGCATTTCCTCTTTTTACTCAGGTGAGTATTTTGCTCATTTTGGAGAAATGGGTGAGTTTTTGTTTGTGGTTGAGAGTGATTTTTTTCCTGGCACTTCTTTATGATGTGATAATGATCATATTCTATAAATGACCCATAGATCTTTACACTCTACTTGGAAGGAGTGAAGTTCAGAATGTGTCTTGTTATCTTTTCTTATTCATTTAATTCTTCTCTCCCATCCAAATGCCACTATCTCCTCAGATCTATATTATGCCACTTGCTTTTTTTTTGTGATTTCTATTTCTTTTTTTTTGTTTTTGTTTTTGTTTTTGTTTTTTTGTGATTTCTTTTTTTATTAATCAATATTTTTATTATGGTTTTGTGGGGTACAGTTAAGGGTTAGGTGTACAATTACGTTTCATTCAGGCATGCTTTTTTTTTGATAGGATCTCTATGTCACCTGGGCTGGAGTGCAGGGGTACAGATCACAGCTCACCACAACCTCAACCTCCTGGGCTCAGGTATACCTTCCGCCTCAGCCTCCTGAGTAGCTTGGACCACAGGTGCATGACACCACACCCAGCTCATTTTTAATTTTTTTTTAGAGACAAGATCTCACTATGTTGCCCAAGCTGGTCTCGAACTCTTGAACTCAAGCAGTCTTCCTGCCTCAACCTCCCAGAGACAGAGGCAGCCTCCACACCCCGCTGCCACTTGCTCTTGATTTTGCTTCCTCTGCCCCACCCCAACCCCAGTTAGACATCATTGAATGGGCTGGTCCACGGCCAAGACAGCACTGAGCTCTGGACTCTGCAGTGGGCTTTTCAGCAGGGTCCTGAGTTCTAGGATCTGGAGTTGACTCTGACTAGAGTTTAAATTGGACTCTAGAATGGACTCTGTGCTCCAGCCTGAGGAAGAGCCTGGCCAAGTGGAGATGGGCCCTGGGTTGGTCTCACTCTAGTGCCATCGTGGCACTGGGCTCTAGGCTGACCTCTAGGCTCAGCCGCTCAGGACAGCCAAGGCCCAACCCAGACTTGTGCTTCCTCCCTGACAGTGCCCATTTCTTGGATCAGAGGAAGCCAATGGGCACGTGGAAGGAAACACTGGGCTGTTTATTGCAAAGTGAGAAGGACAGCTGTTTATTGCAAAGTGAGAAGCAAGGAAGCGGCCAGGCCCTAGAAGGCCAGCCTCTTCCACAACAGAGATGTCAAGGAAGAAGAGAAGAAGAAGGTGGGGGGTGCAGAAAATGAGCTGATGTAGTTAATCAGCCTCCCCTTCCAACTCTGGGACCCTCTCGAGGAAAACTCTTCTGTTGCGCTGTTTCCACCTCTCCCCAGAGAAGTGCTGGCAACATGCTCCCAGGCTGAGGTCTCTGAGAAGCATAAAGGAATTCCAAGGACCTGGAGCCTCTCAGGGCGCAGCAGTCTGTCTCCCTGAGAAGCCAGGCCCAAGTCTGTGAAAGCCTGTGAGTCTCTCCTCTGGGCCTCTACCCTGGCAGGACATGCAGAGGCTGCCCTGTCTTCAGTCTGAGATAAGCCAGCAGGGGGTGCCTGGGGCTGCAGGAATCCCACCAGCTCGGCTTCACCAATCCTTCAGGACGAGGCGGGTTTTCCCGTCTCCGATGGCAAACCTACGAAAAAGAAGGCCCAGTGAGGTCTCTGAGTCCCCAGAGGGGAGTCCCGGCCCTTAACCGCATGTCTCCAGGCCCAGAATCCTCCAGAGAGATGACTTCCTTGGCCTTCCCAGGCTTAACAGCCAGGCACTTCGGCTGAAGAGGCTCATTGCTGTGGTCCGAAAGCAGCAGAGATTGACTGGGGATGCTTTTCACAGGACCTGCAGGAGCCAAGCCACAGGCTGGGTCCTGCCGGCCCCTGGGACAGCAGGCGGGCAGCGGGGCAGACTGTCTCGATCATCCCGGCCCAGTGCCTGTCCTCTCCCCAACAGTGCAAGGTAGGCCCAATGTGCATGTTCAGACAGTGACCCTGGCACACCTGGAGCAGAAGGAACGGGATGTGAGGACCCAAGGAGAAGAGGTCGAGCAGGATGATAGAGGGGGACTCTGGTTTTTTCCCACCTGGAATCCACTTATCCTCCTGATAATATCCAACTTATTATTCTCTGCACAACTCCAGGCAGCACTGTTCACATCGTCTTTTATGTGAATGGTGCCTCCTGACATGCGTGCTTGTGAGGGCACCATTGAGTTGGGGCTCCTTGGAGTTGCACCACACCCCCGTGTCTACTCCCCCACTCTCGGCCCTGCTCTGGGTTGTTCAGGGGAGGTTGACCTCACCCCCACGCCCAGGTTAGGCTCATATGCGGACACAGCCAGTAAGAATGCCTGGCCCACATGGCTACCATGATGGCGTCAGAGACCCAAGCCGGGTCAGTCCAGACCACCGGACATCAGACCTTGGGTTTTTGATAGAGCTGTTTTTCTGGAGTTGTTAAACTACAAGGATGGACGTCTGGAGCAGCTGGTAGGCATCTTTGCTTCTGCTGGAGAGCCCGTCTAAGCAGGAAGCCTGCACAGAGGTGGGTAGAGCCCAGGGAAAAGACCAAGTCTTAAAGACGTTGCTTGAGCACGACCTGAAGCCACTGCCACCTGCGCTCTTTTCAATGGCATGAGCCAATGAATGCCCCTTCATGACATAAGCTGTTTGGAGGTGGATTCTGTTGTTTGCAACCCAAGGTCCTAGCAGCCAATTTCTCTGCCTCTGAAGAAGGCTCCTTCTTTCCTTCTTCAAACCCAAGTGAGAGCCTAGCTCTCCAGCACTCTCTGGGAGCTGTCACCAGGCACCCAGCAGATGGGCCACCAACCCTCTGTCACATGCCTACCTAATGAGCAGTCCTACAAGCAGGCCACCCAGGAGTGGGCCCAGCCAGTAGATCCAGTGGAAGCTCCAGTAGTTGGCCATCACAGCAGGTCCAAAGGCACGGGCAGGGTTCATGCAGCCTCCAGACACAGCACCCCTGCAAGCACCCAGGCACACGGGTCATCAGGATCCCACCCAGGCCCCACCCAACTCATCTCCAATTCATGTCCCAACTAGGCCAAGGTCACACATCACCCAGAAACCTTCTCTAAATTCCTAATCAGGGTAGATCCCACAGAAGATGAAGAAGCTGTTTATTAGCAGCCGGATGTGGTGGCTCATACCTCTAATCCCAGCATTTGGAGAGGCCAAGGCAAAAGGATTGCTTGAACCCAGCCTGGGCAATATAGCGAGAACTCCTCTCTACAAAAAAAAAAAAAAAAAAAAAAAAAAA